CGTATGCTTACCATATTTGTAGATTATGGTATATTGGCTCATATACCATAACGGCTAAGCCAATAAAAAGTCTTGAATTGCATTATCCAGTGATCCAGTTTTTAATAACAACAGTTAGTCTATGACATCAACAGCTAGTTCTTCCTAATTCAAAGCTCTCAACATAACCCATACCTGCCAAATCAACCAAGGTTATCTTTGATCTGATGCCTTTCTCAGCAGATTCGCCATTACTTTTGTGTTCCACATGAATAGTGAAAACACAGTCTGACCTGTAGAATCAGTAAGTACCAAATCATTGCAAGTGTAGAGAGCCATGGCATCAACTATGTGAGTTATTCTAGAGGGAGAATTTAACCGTTATACTCCCAAGATCTGATTGTTAATTCTCTCCTCTAGCTGCTACACATTTCCTTGTAAATTAGTTATGAGAATTTGGCATTAGATCAAAATAACAAATTCTATCTGATAAGTCTGAGTATTCTCATTGCCTGATGGCTGGATGATGTAAGGATATTATAGGGAGAAGTTTAATTGCATGTCAATCACTTTCTGGGAGTAAAAGGGTAAAAATATACGCTTTAGGTCTGCAGAGCATATGATTGAAAATGGACTGTCTACTAATTAAAAAGGGCTTTTCATCGGACTGAAGAGAGCTGTCATTCTACCTTGCACCGCCAGAGTTCTTGTCAGCAGATGCCAATTTCCTGACTCTATTTCCTTGTTCAAAGAGACGAGCAATGTCTTCACCAGTTTGGACAACAAGCTCAGCAAGACCTTCAACAAAACTGCAAAAATAGCAAGCTGACTGTTAAAGGCTGTGATTGGTCAGACAACAAGAACAAATCTGACCTTATCCATGGTTTTGATCATTCCTGATCAGTTGTCAGTACGTGTACATCAAATAGAAATCTTACATTCCCAGTTGTGGATGTTGCCTAATTGTAAGACTCTTTCCTGTTGGATTCAGCAGATCATGCATCATTTCCTGGTAGATCTACAATAATCATGACAGTATAAATAAAAAAAAAACATTTAGCATAAAGCACAGCTCTTGTTTGAGCGAGCCAAACATGTAGGCTGATGACACATCACTATACTTTTCCTTGTCGCTTATTTTAGGTAACTTCATGATTTTCAAGTTAAGTGAAGATGATGTTAGGTAGGGTTGTCCACGATCAGCACCCCTTAATGGATAATGTATTTGAAATCGTGAGGAAATATTTACCTGCTTATCAGGGAGTTAAAGGAAGACAAGGGAAAGCTGCTATACAGTTGTAACATCTGTATTAGGAATTTGACACCAAGGCTAGGGTGCAAGAGCTGCATACACTTGATTTTTGCTTTGAAAATTTAAAAGTGCTTCATGCGAGTAGGAATTCATTAATTAAAAAACTCACCTCATAAAAAGAAACAGTGACAAAAAACTGCTTGCTTGGGGGGGCTTCATCAATATACTTGAAGAGCTCTTGGTTAAGCTAAAGAATAAATCATCAAGTAATAAATATCTAATTATCCATTGGTGGAAGTTGAGGAAGACACAGTTGCCTTTCAGCTAGCATGCTGGATTCCTGGTCAATTTAAGCCATCCAAGTTCTAGACCTGGTTGAGTCATTGTGTTGTGTGCAAGAAACTTTACATTTATTTAATAGTGGCTCTCTCCACCAAGGATCAAGTTGTATGATTTTGACTGGAGTTTACTTTAAATCATTCATCAAGGACATCTCACCAGTGGAATAATACCAGGCTCTTCTTCGGTTCCTATCATAGTGTATGTTTTACCAGTACCAGTCTGCAAACATATTGACAGAAAATCCCAATTACTGGCAAATAATAAAAATTGAAAAGCAGACCATAGGGGGTTTAAATCTCCACAGTTACTGTAACAGCCTACAGTAGAGCAGCCATGGAGACTTCAATCCATCTGCAACTGTTTCCTTCAATCAAGTATGGGCAAAAGAAGGGTGGGAAGGGAGGGGAGGGGAGGAATTTCATACAAAAAAGATGTTTTTGATCATACTGCAAATATAAATCCACGAAAACTAACTACAGTTTATTTTAAGCATGAAGCGGAGAGACGTAGAACATTAAAAAATCACGTGTAACAATTTTATCATTTTAGATTGTTATGACTTAAATTTACATTGAAAACAGCAAACTCACTAGTGTCAATAACAATTACAATAATTTTATTAATTTCTATTGCGCAATTATCAATATAAATTTTCAATTGCGCATAAAGTCAGGCGCAGTGTCAGTCTGAGCAGAATCTTTATTTTGACCCGCAAACTTTTAATAACTCATTAGTCCAGCTACTACGCTGAAGAAATAACAGTGACTTTAAAACGCACCTTCAAAATTTAATCCAACGAAAATGTAAAACCCAAAAATGCTGGGTTCAGACAGTTACATGACGTCATCAAATTCTTACTTTATTAATGACTTTATTTAAACTCGGATGAAAATGAGGCTTGTTAGACCTCTAGCAAGTGAGATGCTAATACACAGACAGACCTAAGTTTCTCCATCAATATTCTTACTTAAGCATGGTAACTAGTTGAGTCCAAAAATTTCAATCTTATCATAATAAATACAAATACAATAATGTTGTAAAATAGATAAATGAATTAATTGAGATTTTTAGGGGTTTATTTGTCAGACTATCAAAGTCACACCATCGGCACTATTTTTGTCTGTGAATTTAGCTTTAGAAGTTGAACGTAAAATTCCATTGGAAAGTAATACTTGAAATTCAAGACGCGTTCACAAAAAAAAAAAAATCTCACTCAAACCTTAAAAAATTATATAAACAAAGGATTTCAAAGTGGTATCTTAGAAGTTCAAAAGTATTATGCAAAACGAGCTGATGAAAATCGCTGATTTCATATAAATTTAAGAAAAAAATAGCAATTCTCCTTTTTAGATTTTTTTTTTGGTCAATTCTATTATAGCAACGCTACTACGAAGTGAGGGATTTAGCGGGCGTTAAATTCAAGAACATATGTAAGTTTATTCATCAGTTAGTTAGCGATGTCTCAGCCGAGCAGTTTAACTCTTTTAAAAACTCTCCATCGATTACTGAAAATGTAGCAATGGAATAAACACGACGTTTTTTAAGCGGTGTTAGTTTTGCAGTTGCTGTACTCAGCGCACAATTCAGCCCATGTCTTGCATACACCGTTGATGGAACAAGACGCTGTTCTCTGTCCAAAAACAGGTTTTCAGTTGTGAAAATAAAAAAAATTAACACAAAAAAAACGTGGTACAGAGGTCTAACACTAAAAAGTAAATAGCAGATAATGTTTGGTAGCCTCTCACAACAAAGAAAAAACACTTCGTCAATTCACGATTCGCTATCTTTTTCAAACCGCAAATCATCGACACGATTGTACATGTATCTTTCACAATATGAATCCCTAAACTCCGGTAGTTTTTCTCTCTACATGTTAAAGAACATTCTGACCGAGTGTCGTAAAACCAAAACCAGAATAACACCATCGACCAATCAGAACGAATGAAGCTATCACAAGGAACTAATAAGAGATGAAAGGAAATGCAAGCTTACTGCCTATAGCACGAGAAAATATGAGTAACCACTTGAAGTCGTGACTAAAGAGAATGGTAGTACAACAGCTAGCCGTAAGCAGTCCAAAACAATCCTCGACGTATGCTAAAATCTTAGCTCGTATTTTCAAGCTTTGTTCTCTGGCAAAGCATCTCAACCATTAACACAGACCAGCGGTTGTTGCGAGAGCAACATCGCTGTGTTTACAAAGGGAAAAACAACATAGGTTGGAGTTGTCACAACACTTGTTAACTGATTCGTGTGACTTTCTGAGTGATTGGCTGACAAATGAACCCCTCCAAACAAGAAATAAATAATCAGTGGACTTGTAGAATCCAGTAAACGTGAGTAGAATGCGAACATAAAATTTACGTTTGAAAAAATCTATTAACAATATCTTACAAATATGACAAATTAAAACAAGTAAAAATATTAGGTAAAAACAATCATCCTCACAGGACAGCGGCAATTTAAGCAATTGCAGAAAAGTAGCTTGAAAAAATTCAGGCTTCGACGGAATTCGAACCCAGGCCTCCAAGATACAAGTTAAGCTCTATTACCAACTGAGCTAAGAAGACTAACGTTGGGAGCGAGGGAAAATTTGAAGTATTCCTGTTTCTCGAGGAAGAATCTGACCACAATTTTTTTCATAATATTTAAATAGTTCTCGTCATATCTAAATCTTGCCTATTGGCTTCTTAATGTTCTTTTTCAATCTAAAGCATTCAAATAAATTGTTCTTGAAAATTGTTATGTTAAGCCCTTTTGAGAAAGGTCAACTGTTTCTGCATGAAGAAGCAAAATAAGTTCTTTAAACTTGTTCAATATTCTTACACTACGTCGTTAAGTCCCATTAAACAGGATCCTTAAACAATTAACCGTTTTAGTCCTTTGGACCATTATCCGCTGATTCAAGTTTTCACTAAATTATGTATAAAACTCTAGCGTGTAACCAATAAAATGACAGTTACTGAGCAGTAATTTCATTTGGTGCTGTTTATTACGCCACGTACGGTAGTTCCAACTCTTAAATCTGTGGATGAAACTCTAGTGTGTGACCATTCAAAGGAAAGCTAACAAGCAGCTCTGGTACTCTTTGCTCTCTAAAGCGCTCTTCGACTGAGTGTCGTAACACCCAAAACCAAAGTAATCAAAACGACCAAACAGAAGAAAGAAAAATACCTTAAAGAGACAAAGATAACTAAAAAAAAAACAAACAAACAAACCAAACCCAACTGCTTAAAGCGCGGGAAAACGCAGGCGACCAATTCGTGGTTTTAGTTTCGCATCTGATTGGTTGAGAGAGTGGCGCGAGATTTCTGGACCAATCACAGAGCGACTTAGAGTAAAACCAAAGTAGTCCCGGAATTTTCAGACACTCAATAGAAAACTGCTCTGTTTTACAAATGTTAACTGTTCCAAGAAGATGTTTTACCTTCTTTCGTATTACTTGCACCTGCTACAGATGAACCCGCACCATCCGTACTGCTCTCATACCAGTTATCCAGGGCCAATGGGTAAAGGACAGTGTCAGGATTCTCCACTGGTTGTAGCGAATGTCTAATAATTGAGCGCAGTCTCTCGTTGATTTTGATATCTGGAAGATATAAGTCAGATTATTGTCACTTTTGTTAAAACAGAAAAAGCCAAAAATGTGTTCACTTCGGCACCTGGAGCGATGTTCACTTGGTGGTAAAAGGAACAAGTTTCTCTCACCTGATACAAAGTTGCCCGTAGCAGAAAAGACAAATTCTACTTTACATCCGTCTGGAAATTTCCTATCTGTTGTTGGAAATAAAGACAGAAGTCTGAGAGCGGGCCCTCGTCATTAACGCTTCGGAACAAGAGTTCCTCCAAAAATTGACGCTTTGAGCAACTCAAACCTGCAAGAGGTTTGCAATGGGTCTCGGACTAATAATGAGCCCCAGACCCCCGGCTAATCTCTCCCCTCTCAAGTCTTAGGTTGCAAAATAAACTTGATAGTCAATTCCTACTTTCGTTTTTGGAGGGTTTTTTTTTTTTCGCACGATAAATTCCCTACTTTGGCCTTCGTTTTAGAGGGAGTGTACCGTGTCGAAGCGGTTCGGTATTCCAAAAACCAATTCAGCACATGTGGTACATACCTTTACAGGCGTCATCCAATTCAATTTTGTCCAGCTCTAGGCCATAATCCCTAATGGCGCTAGTATGAAACTGACATCTAAAAATGATATCACGACCAGACGAAAGAGTGTTCTTGTGATAACACTTGATCTATGAGACAAACAAGATCCCTTACATTAGAGAAAAAAAAAATCAACTCAGGGTCAAAATGAATCCAGAATGGTTGAATTAATTTTGGTTTATTGTGTTCTGTGATTGGTTAAGATGATTCGTGCCAGTTCTTTAACAAATCAAATGCAAAGTTTCAACCACTAGCGACTGACGACGTTACAG